ATTTTCTGAGATGCTAAAGACTTCTGCATAGGTTTCCATTAAAACCATCCCATCTCTAGAAAGGATATCCTGCCATTGTCCCTGCCATGATTTTGATGTGGGGTCAGGCGTAGAATCACTACAGAGATGCCAGAGGGCAAACGAATACAGGAGCAGCAGGAGGATGGGAAGATACTGAGGACAAAGGTCGCCGAATGGGAAAACCAGTAAACAACCTTACCTGATGGTCTAATAGTAGAGAGGATGCAGGGGTTTCATGGCCTGGATGGCTGTCCCCTCAACGACACCCTAGCCATTATATTCAGACTCCCCTGATGGAGATACCCAGTGGCATGTCCTCTGCAAAGTGTCTATCAGGAGCATCCATTGGGTGTCAAAAGCACCATAGGCAACTGGCACCTTATTAGGCAGCATGTCCCTGATCTCACTGACGTCATCCTTGATGGACACAAGACCAGCATGCCCCCCACTCATGTAGGGAACAATTTCTCCAGAGCTGGGATGCATCTCAAGATGTTCTCAGATGTCTTGCCTGTCGGCACTGCAGCCATCCCCAAGAGGATTCAAATCCACTGAGGCTGTTTGGAGCCCACATTCTCTGCTGCCACAATGAAGCACTCCAGATAATCATCTGAAAGTTGAATGATCTTAAGTAGTTGGGACTTGTGGGTCACACTCCTCCTTGGTCACCGTGGGTGTGTCAAGGTTTAAAAACAATGCCATGCTAATGACATCAGAGTGGGGTGCTCATCTGAATCACAATGATTTGATGAGCGCCTCTGAAAATGTTCCAGATGAGTAGACTCGCTAAAGAAATCCCACTGAGAATCATTCTGTAAAGTGACAGATACACAAGCAAAACTCACCTCAAAATCTTCCATATAAGCCTGAGGGTTCTGACTGCTCAGAGCAGGATCCTTTGCCTCACACTCTATGAACACTTATGGGCATTTTGTGTACAAAGCTGTGTGCCACAGCTCAGGTGCTGAGAAATGAAAGGCAGTGTAGGAACCACCCCGAGTTGCCTGCAGGAACAATGAGGTGCAGAGAGGTTGCTGGGGAAGCAGGAGGCTCCAGTGAGTTCAAGACCATCCTGGATATATGAGACCCTGTCTCAAAAAGAAAGTCACAAGGGGCCAGTGAGATGATTCAACATATAAAGGAGCTTACTGCCAAGACTGGCAGACCTGAGTTTGATCCCAGGACCCACATGATAGGAGAGAACCAACTTCCACAAGTTGCCCTCTGACCTCCAAACCCACAGGTATATACACACACACCATTTAAAAAATAATAATAATAATGGAAGAAAAGACAGTAGGGCTTAAACAATATATCTTTGTCTTTTTCCTATAAGGGTCTCAGAGAATTAAATTTTTGGCTTCCTTCAATCCACTGCCAGACCCCCTACACACAGCAGGAATGGTGCTCCCACAGGCTAGCTAAGCACATAATGTGAGCATCTTCTGCCCCCTGGTGGTCACTGAGGGATCCATCCTGACCTGGCAGTCTGAGTCCTGGTACACATCTGGGGTCTCAGACATTCCGGCTTGGACCTCATTTTTCAAGGCACTCTTTCACTATTTACCCTATGGAGTCGTCCTTAAAATTCTGTGAGGTGAGGAGAGCCAGGATTCGCATTCCCACTTTACAAGTAAGTGCAGCATCCTAGGATACATTATCAAATCCACACTTTATCTGATCTTGGCCTCAGCTACCCTTCTGTTAAACAGGAGAGCACAAGAGAGCAGAATGGTCTCTTCCATATCCCCACATTCTTGAGTAGAGAGGTGCTTTGCCCAAGATCAGAGTAAATCAGGACAGAGGTGTTCCCCAAGCTGCTTGTCACCTCATTTGCCAATGCTGATCAGAAAATGCTAGTGTCACAGCAAACATAAAAGCTAGTCACTCCACCTTTGTGTTGTGTGTTGAAGGGTCACATGCATGGATGAACAGGTGTGTGAGTGGATGCATAAGTGGGAAGAGAGGTGGGTGGATGAATGGATGGATGGGTAGGTGAGTAGATGGATAGGTGGGATAGGGTGGATGGATGGATGGATGGATAGATAGGTGTAGGGATGGATGGATGGATGGATGGATGGATGGATGGGTAAGTGAGTAGGTGAGTAGATGGATAGGTGGATAGGGTGGATGGATAGAGAGAATTCATGGAAAGATGGGTGATGGATAGGTGGGTGGACAGATGGATAGGTGGACAGGAGGATGGAGAGATGTTGACTGGATGGATGGAAGGGTGGCTGGGTGGTTAACTACAAAGGTGGATAGGATGCTGCATGGATAGGTGATGGATTGAGTATTGGGTGGTCAGGTAGGTAGGTGAATAGGCAGGTGAGTAGGTGGATAGACCAATGGGCATATGGATAGGTTGGGTGGGTGGGTGGATGAAAGGCAGAAATCTAAGAACTTTAAGATCACTCTTAGCAATGGGGCGGCTGCCTGCCTCCTCCTGTTCTACAAGCTGCCCTCTAATGCCAGCTGCTTTGCCCCCTTGGAAGGCTGATGTGGATCTACTAAGCTGGAGTCCTGAAACCATTGCCATTACCTGGCATCTGGGACAAGCAGTGAGGGGAATGAATCATCCTCACAGGCCTCCTTCCTTTCCTGTTATCTACCACTTTTCAACAGCACTAGCCATGGGAAGTCTGAGGATTTGGGGATATCAACAAGAGGCTCCAAACATGGGCATCCTTCAGAAAGTAATTTCTTCAGTCAACCATGGCTGAGGTTAAACTCTGCTCAAATTGATGTTCAGGACCACTGAGGGTATGGGCTGGCATGTTAAAAGCATGCCTTATGCTGGCAAGCTCCTTAAGCTCTCTGTGTCAGGGTTTTCCACGTGCCAAATGGGTGTGATGTCTGGCAAGTGTTGTGAGGAATGAATGAAAGAAAATACAAAACACTTGTCTGTCATAGGCAATCAGTAAATAGTTTTTTCCTTCCTTTTGTTCCTGATTATGGAGAAATTCAGGAGAGGGAAGAAATTTAGGAACATAGTCCACTATGCATCTGGCATAGTGAAGTAATGAAGTATATTTGAAGGTAAGGGAAGAGGGACTGAATGTATTTTCTGTAGGAATGAAAGCACACTCAAATCTCTTTACGACAGAATACCATTTACCTGTCCCCTGTGTCATTCTAGAGTTACAGGCACAGGGATATTCAGCAAAGAGTCTGCAATGGTTATGCTAAGAACATCCTTCACAGCTCCTGGGAAATGGCCAACTAAAAGGTAACTCTGTGACCCAATAAAGGAGAAATGTCAGGATTTAAAAAAAAAAAAGACTAACCAAGCATGGTAGCACACTCCTGTAATACTTGGAAGGGGGAGGTAGGAAGATTAGAAGTTCAAGGTCATCTTTGACTACATAGTGAGTTCAGGGCTAGCCTGAGCAACATTAAATCTTGTCTCAATTTTTTTATTATTTTTATGTGTATGCATGTATTGCCTGCGTGTAGGTAAGTGCACCCCTGTCATGCAATGCCCATGGAGGACAGAAGAGGCTATCAGATCCCCTGGAATTGGAGTTATGGACAGTTGTTAGCTGCTATGTGGTGCTGGGATTCGAACCCTAGTCTTCTGCAAGAACATTCAGTGTTCTTAACCACTGAGTCATCTCTCCAGCCCAATTTTTTTCTTTTTAAAAATCAAAATGGGGGCTGGAGAGATGGCTCAGCGGTTAAGAGCACTGACTGCTCTTACAGAACAACTGGGTTCGATTCCCAGCACTCACATGGCAGCTAACAGCCCGATGCCACCTTCTGACCTCCGAGGGCGTTGCATGACACGGGTGCGCTTACACACATGCAAGCAGTACACATACATATAAAATAAAAATAAGGGGGCTAGAGAGATGGCTCAGCAGTTAAGAACACTGACTGTTCTTGCAGAAGACCCAGATTTGAATCCCAGTACCCACATGGCAGCTAACAACTGTCCGTAACTCCAGTTCCAGGGGATCCAACAGTCTCTTCTGTCCTCTGAGGGCATTGCATGACATGAATATACTTACCTACATGCTGGCAATACACACGTACACATAAAATAAAAATAAATAAAATATTTTTAAAGTAAAAACAAATAAAAATTTTTAAAAATAAAAACAAAACAGAAATCCACAAAAGGATAAGAGAACTAAAAAGTGCAGAGAAACAGAAGGGCAAAGCACCAAAAAGAAAGGCAAGCAGATTACAGCTGCAGCCCCATGTTCCCCACTGTGAGAAGGGAAGCATAAGCCTTGTCCGGAAGGTGAGCCAGAAACTGGCATCCCTGTCCACAGGATGTCCACAGCTCTCAAACCCATCTATGGGTGTTGCTTAGATAGTGACTTCCTCAGTGGACTGGGTTGGCATGGAGAGGCACTCCCCCAGTCTGGAAGAGTAATCTAGAATGGCTTCTAGAAAAGGGGCTTCACAGGTACTTGGCATCTGACAGCTCCTTGGAAAGTTCTTTTGGACTAGGAAACAGAGGCCCAAGAAGGTCAAAAGGTCACACAGCTGACAGGTGACAGAAACTGCACTGTGCAATGCCTCACCCCGGCCTTCTCACCACTGGAATGTTGCATGGTGACTTTACTGAGCCCTTCCCATCTAGATGTCATTGTCCCAACAAGCACCAAATCAAGGGAGAAGGAAAGAAGGGAGGGAGGCAGGCAGAGAGGGAGTGAGGGAGGAGTGTGAAAAGGCAATGAGAAAAAGTAAAGTGGGCACAGGAGGCTCTGTGTTTGGACAAACCGTGGAGGCTGACTTGACTTAGCGTCCTCCACGGAGCCTGCATGGAGCTTCCATGGGCTGTCAGGATCTTCTTCACCAGATAGAGGGGATGGGTAAAGCAAAGAATATTAGGATTCTTGAGGATACTTCGTGCTCTGCTTTCCTTTCTGCCTTTATTATTCTACAATGGTGTAGACCACACCTTTCTGGGTCTCCTCAGTTCCTAGCAGGGTGGTTGTGTGTTCCTGAGGCAGATCATTCTGCCACAGTTATGGTGGCTGTCTTGCCACCTTAGCCTGGAGTTTCAAGATCCGTTGGCTGTCCAAGTACTGCTGCGTGCTCAGGGATTCCCGTCTCCAACGCAGCATCTTTCTCAGCTGGTCTGTCATGAACTTTTTCTTCAGATAATCATGTAAGTGGCTCATCTTTCTCTTGGTCTTGTCAGAAGCTCTTATCTTATGAAAAACAGAGGTGAATTTGGGATAAAGAAGCTACTTCACAGTAGAGACATCTGAGGCTGCTGATTTGAGGTAGGAAGGTGCCTATTAAGCCTAATATTCATTCCATAAATAGCTTGACTCACAGAGAGGCTGCCCACTATGTAAAACGTGGGCAGTAAGCTGGACAAACCACTATGGTGCTGGCAGTCCGCAGCTGAGGAGCCTGATTTTGACCTTAATGGTTTGAAGACTGAGCTGAAAGAAATGTAGGTTTGTGGTGCTGGGGTTGAAATTCAGAGATAGAGAACTTTCCTAGTGCATGATAAGCCCTGAGTTCAGCCCCCAACACCAATAAATAAATAAACAAATGGAGGCTGCGGGGGCAAGGAGGTCCATCTTGCTTCTCTCCATCAATAAATTCTATCATCCTGTCCCTATTAATCATAGTGCTATCCACATATTGTCTGTGATAGCACTATACCAGAGCAAATTCTAATTTCATCCACTAAATAACTCCTGTCCTGTTCCCAACAAGACTGTAAGGTCTGGTAGGGCACCTTACTCATTCACTGGTTTCCTACAATGAGCTAGCTCCAGGAATGAACGTCAGATGGCAAACACAGGTGTTCCTAGCAGCTGTGATGTAATCAGGATATGGGACACATGCACAAATATTTCTAAGCCAGGTAGAAAATGATACACCCCTAAAAGAGGCAGAGTTCAAAGAAGACAGGTAGCAGGAACTGCATAGAAAGCTTGGCAGAGTAGCAAGTCCTATATAAGTCCCAGCACTGGGGAAGCTGAGGCAGGAAGATCCCAAGTTTGAGGTCAGCCTGAGCTAAAAGAGCAAGACTGTGTCTCAACAACAAACCAGGCTGCATAGGGCTGGGGTGCTCCACTGGGCTGAGTTGCTCCACTGGACTGGGGTGCTGCACGCTGCATAGGGCTGGGGTGTAGCTCAGTGATAGAGCATTTACACTGCCTAGGGATATTGTTGTAAAATTGAAATTGGGTTTTGTTTGCTGTTATTTATTTTTATTTTAAGTTGTGTTTTACCTTTTTTTAATTTTTTAAATTTAATAACCACATGATTTAGAAGAAGCATTTCATTACAGCTTTAACATATTCAGTAACAATTTCCAGAGCAAGGATACATCTCTTTCAAAACTGGATGTAAATTTTTGGGTTCACAGTTGAATTAATACAATATTGAACTCAGCATAAACCCTGTACGACATAAAATTGAGTTTTTACCCTTTAAAGAAGATCTCCATTTCATTTTAAATATGCTGTTTCCTACATTTTTTTTTTAGTCTTTTTGAGACAGAGTCTCCCTGTAGCCCCAACTGTCTGGGACTCACTATGTAGACCAGGCTGGCCTTGAACTCACAGAGATCTGCCATGCCTCTGCCTCCCAAGTGCTGGGATTAAAGGCATGCGCCACCGCACCCAGCTTGTTTCCTCCATTTTTAATGCTACTAATGCTTAGATGTTTGCACATGTGTCCTTAATTGCTATGTATCTGATTAATGCTAGTCACAGTCAGTTACACTTGGATCCTTGGCACCTGAGTGTGGATATAAAGTCATCAGGTAGATTTCAATGGTAATGTTTATCACCTCTACTAATTAACATGAAGTAAATTTTTATGCTTCCCCCTCAAATATGTTTTTTTTAATTTGTTGATTTTTGTGTGTGTATATTATACAGAACATCCCACACAATCTTATTCATCTATATACCCACTTCCCAAATGGCACCCTCCCATAGCCTCCCCTCCCCACACACTGGCGCCCATATACTCTGTCATCCCTGTTACTGCCCACTGTGTTGTCAGCGCCCCAGCCATTCCCCAGTGCTTGTCCATCTGTTGAATCTAGTCAGCCTATCTAGAGATAGTTGTTTTAGAAAGGTCAGCTGTTCCTCATCTAGCAGCAATCAGTTGTCAGTATTCCCTTAGATAAGATTGGGCTCTGCTGTTCATTTTCCCAGTTTTATGCTGGGTTACTGTCTGGGAGTCTTTTGGGCCACCCTGGCCAACAACTCAAAAGAAGGTATCTCCTGTCTGGCATTGTTTCTTGTTATGTAGCCTTTATCTATACATGTGGACTCTTAAAAAATTATATTGCCGGGCATGGTGGTGCACGCCTTTAATCCCAGTGCTTGGGAGGCAGAGGCAGGCAGATCTTTGTGAGTTTGAGGTCAGCTTGTTCTACATAGTGAGTTCCAGGACAGCTGGGGCTACAAGGAGGCCCTGTCTCAAAAAAAAAAAAAAAAAGACAAAAAAATTATATTGACCCCATTAATCTTTGGTTATACTTTCCTCTTGGGTGTTTAAGACCCTACAATTGGCTCAGATAAACCAATTTACTCTTACTCTTAAGGTCATTTGAGGATCTGTTCCTCAGGGGTAACATGGGCTAGGGAGGAGCCCCTGGCTCCATTCCTTTACCAGTTCTGTCTATGTGAAGATAAGTCAAAGGTCCTGCTCAACCATGGCTGGCTTTGCTTGGAAGCATGGAGGAAATGATTCCTCTGTGTTGACCCTTCTCTTTGTAGACTGGACACTGGTTCAGGTCCACCTGGTGGGGTCTCCACAGCCTCCTTGATCAAGAGAACAGGGGACTCACCACAGTTATAGGACATTTTGAGAGATGCACATAGTCCCCTGGAACTTAATCAACCTGAAAGAGAGTGTCCCTCAGACCCCCTCCCTGGCCTCTGAGAAAAAGCTGCCCTCCACCTGACTCTGGAAATCCCCTTCATTGTTCAAACACTTTCCTGGCATCTGTTTATGATTTCTATGGAAATGGTCTGGGGCAGAAAAGATAGAACGTTCTGCCCCAGGTAAGCTAGCCAATGGCAGTATATCTGACACATCTGTGTATGGTTTCTATGGGAATAATCTGGGGCAGAAGAGAAAGAACGTTCTGCCCCAGGTAAAACAGCCAGTGGCTGTATAGGTAAAATCTCTGGAAATCAGCCCTAGATTGTTCCAATCCTTTCCTGGTTATTCTGTGTATAGTTTCTATGGACATCCCCTGCTTTGTGGTTTTTATGGTTTTTCTGCTTAAAAGCCCTGCATTTTCACTGCTCAGGGTCGCAGTACAGCTCCTGAGACTGTCTGTGTCCCCAGCTGGTTGGCCTCAATAAAGCACTTCTTTTTGCTGAGACTCAATGTCTGAGTGGTCAATTTGGGGAATTCCTCGGACCCTGAACAAACCTAGGAGGGAAAGGAGCAAAAAACTGTCCTTTATATCCCTCTGTCCAAATTAGTATATAGGCCTCATAGTATGTCTGTTAAACATCCAAAAAAATTAGTTCCACTAGTCTGGTACTTTTAGTTACCATGTGCCATGTAGATAAAGCTTGGGCAAAGACCAAACACTCTCAGATAAACCTTACCTAGACATATATTACATTCCTCGATCTGGTTGTAGGTATAATTTGACAGAAGGTTGTTGGACTAATATGGTTCCCTCTGGTTTTTTAAAACTAGCTAGGCATTATTCATCTCTTACATTATCTAACCCTTCCACCATGGTTTCCCCATTTAAGGTGCCCCTGTTTTTTCCATTTCCCCCTTAAAAACACCTTTCTCCTATGGTCCTACCTCTCTTGAGCTCCTTCTTTACCTTTATCCCCTAGGTTCCTTGTATACCCTTCCCTCCCCACTCCCCTTAAAATAACCCCATTTTTATCCATATCTCCCTTACTAAGGCCTGTTTCCTATTGTTCTCTTTCAGATTCTTTCTTTTCCTTTACCTCCCTTGATCCTTTTCATTATCCTGGTTCCTGTAGTTATGTCTGGATACATACTCACTTATAAGGATTTGGTGCTAGGATCCACATATAAAGGAGAACATACATTTTTTTTTTCTGAGTCTGTGTTACTTCACTTAGTATAAGTTTCTAGTATAAGTTTCTAGTTCCATCTATTTACCTGCAAATTTCATGATTTCGTCTTTCTTTACTGCTGAGTAAAACTCCATTGTATAAATGAACCACATTTTTATTATCCACTCGTCAGTTGAGGGACACTTAGGTTGCTTCCATCTCTTAGCTATTGTGAAAGAGCAGCAACAAACATGGATATACAAGTGTCTCTGCAATAGCGTGAGTTCTTTGGGTATATGCAAAGGAGTGGTATAACTGGGTCAAATGGTAGGGTCTTTTGTAGTGTTTTAAGAGTTCTCCATACTGGGGGCTGGAGAGATGGCTCAGTGGTTAGGAACACTGGTTGTTCTGCAGAAGACTCGGGTTCAAATCCCAGCACCCACATGGCAGCTAACAACTGTTCATAACTCCAGTTCCAGGGGAACCAACAGCCTCTTCTGTCTTCTGCAGGCATTGTACAACACAGGTGCACTTACTTACACACAGGCAATACATACATACACATAAGATAAAATAAAGTATAAAAAAAAGAGCTCTCCATAATGCTTTCCATAGGGGTTGAACAAGTTTGCAGACCCACCAGCAGTGGATGAATGTTCCCCTTTCCCCACATCCTCTCCAACATTTGGTATCATTTGTTCTCTTGATCTTAGCCAGTCTGAATGGGGTAAGATGAAATTTTAAAGTAGTTTTAAATTGCATTTCCCTAACTACTAGTGATGTTGAACACCTTTTAAGATGCTTCTTAGCCATTTTTACTTCTTTTGAGAACTCTCTGTTCAGTTCCTTAGCCCATCTTTAATTGGGTTACTTCCTTTCTTGATTCTTTGTTTTTTTGAGTTTGTTATATATTTTGGATGTGAAACTTCTGTCAGATGTGTCGCTGGTAAAGATTTTCTCCCATTCTGTGGGTTTTCTCTTCACTTTTTTTATTTTTTCTCTTGCTGTACAGAAGCTTTTTAGCTTAATGAGGTCCCACTTTTTGATTGTTGACCTTAGTTACAGAGCAACTTCTGTCTGATTTAGAAAATCCTTTCCTACACTTATGTCCTATAAGTTACTGCCAATATTTGCTTCTAATAGTTTCAGGGTTTCCAGTTTCACATTGAGGTC